GACTTTGACGATGATTGAAGGCTTGAGCCGCCATGGGAGCAGCCGCAGAGAGGACGCGGCTCGGAGCTCTGCAGCTTCCGGCATGAACCTGGCCATGGCCCTGGCGGCGGAGCGAAATTTGCGGGGCGATGAAGGGGGCCCCGCCGGCGCCGGCGATGTGAAATCGTTGATGAGATTGTTCGAAGAAATGGACGGTGTGGATTGGAAGACAAAAAGAAAGGAGGGGGAGAATAACGGTGTGGATTGGATGTGCTGCGTGTGCATGGAGAGGAGTAAAGGCGCGGCTTTTATTCCCTGTGGACACGCCTTCTGTAGGGTATGTTCTAGGGAATTATGGCTCAACAGAGGCACGTGTCCTATTTGCAACCGTTCGATCATTGAGATTCTTGATATTTTTTAAGATTTTTAAAAACAAATTTCAATCTCGTTTCCCTAAATTATTATTTCAATGTGATTTTTGTTTTCTTTTGTTTTGTGTTTTTCTGGAATTATGGAAGAAAGCATAAAGCAGCACGTGGTAATGAAATTGCATGATTCAAATATGCATTCAGGCAAAAAAGTTTCATTTTTATTTTTCTCTAAACAATATAATTATTGGAATCTAACATAATTAAAGAAAGATAATTTTATGATCTTAAAATGACAAAAATGAGGATTTTAAGGGAAATAAAGAGATCTCTCCTATTAGGTAAATAATAGTTGTCAGAGATTGGATCTATGATCTATCTTTGAAGGCCTTGTTTTAAAGATGGGCTCTTTCTTATTACGTGAATTTAATAACTTTGAAGCTCATTATGAGTTAGATCGGATAGCAAGTCGATCTTACATTCTAAAGAACCGTTTGCTTCAACAATTTTAGATACTTCAAATTTCATATCTGAAATATTAGATGTCTGACATCTTTAGGTGACTACGTTTGTTTCGTATGAAAAATTATAAGACTGTTTTGTAAGTTTTATTCGTAGGAAGGATAAAAAAATGTCTTTACGAATATTTATATAATTTATATATTAATTTAATATATTTATATTAGATAATAGGATTATAATAAAGATGGACTCTTTCTTATTATTTGAATTTAAAATCTTTAAAAGTTCATTACGAGTTAGGTTGATTAAGTTACGTTCTAAACCCTCTCGAATGTAGAAATGTTATAGTTAACATAATAAGGCTCTTCGGCTAGAAAGGTTGGTAGGCTAACCATTTGCCATTTTTATTAAATTTAATAGTTTATTCGAACGATTATTCATCACTTTCTTTGGACAAACATTCTTAATTCAAATTAGAAGTCATTCATGTAATCCAACTCTTAAAGAGAAAATGATCGTACATTTTTTGGTTTTTGATTTTTTAAAAATAAGCTTGTTTGATAACCAATTCAATTTTCTACTTTTTGTTTTTCAAAAATCATTTTAAAATTCTATGTAAATTTTGAAAACAAAAAACAAATAGTTTTCAAAAACATATTTATGTTTTCCAAAATCTGAATTTTTCTTCTAATACTCAATTTTTTTTCTTTATCATATTTATCTCTAAAAAATTTATTTCTCACTCTAACACTTTTTTTTATTATAAATTTCTCTCTACAAAATTTATTTTTCTATCTCTAAAATTTTCAATCCAAAATTTTCTGTATTTTTATTTTTTACTTTTTTTTTCTAACGATCACTTTCATTTCTCTCTCTAAAAATTTAATATTTTTACTAACTTTTTTCTCTATAAAATTTTGTCTTTTATAACTTTTCTTTTTCTTCATAATCTATTTTTTTCTCTGAAAATTATATCTTATTTTATCGTTCAATTTTCTTTCACAGCAACTATTATTTACCTCTGTATTTATTTATTTTCTCTAAAAATTATTTTGAATCTTGTTTTTATCTCTGAATTTGTTTCCACTATCATTTTTCTCTTTCTTTATAATTCTTTTTTTTTTCCTTTAACATATCTTTTCCTGTCGATTTTATTTTATTTTTTCTCTAAAATTTTTCTCTTTTTGTTTTTAACTTTTATTTCACAATTTTTTTCTAAATCCTTCTATTTATCTCTCTAAAGTTTATCTTCCAAAAACTTATTTATGTCTCTCTAAACTTGTATTTTCATGTCTCTAAGTTAGAGGATGACAAAAATTTCCACGTCGGACACCAAAAGTAGGAAATGCATGTCTCAAACCTGTCCCCGTCCCCGATTCAGTTTTTTAAATAATTAATAGGGTTTATACCTAAAACTAAAAACAAGAAAAACCCAAAACCAAAATGGTTATTAAACTGGCCCTATATAATTAGAATTTAAAACTAGTCTCTTTCTTAAAGCGGAGAATGCGATAAAATTACAAACACCTTTTAGTGAACAATCAAAATATGGCTCATTATGTGACATTTCAAATGCAAACTTTATAAATTCTGAAAAGAGACATGTATTAAGACATAGATAAACAATTTAATCAAACCCCCATGTATCTAGTCCAATATTATTAGGGGCAATAATCCCTCTTTAGTCATCATCACAACCCAAATCTTCTAAAATCTCAAGTCAAAAAGGCTCTCCTTCAGTTTCCTTCCTCATTGATTATACTTCAACATTTTTCAACCAATTTATTAATCTCTAATGCAAATTTCTTCTCCTAAAGTCAACAATAATTATACAGGGGAAGAGTAATTCTCTCTTAATTTTAGACACTTAAATCCATGCCTAAATTTACATTTAGACAGTACCCAATACACTAAATGTCAATAACTGTTCTGTCTTTGCCTAAAAATTTATGAACGACTTCGTAATTGTTACTTTCGTCGCGAAATTTCCTCACGAAAACGAGTTCAAATCTAAAACGCTCTCTCTTTTATGTCAAAAGAGATTTGCTTTCGATTTCAGAATGACTAGACATTGCCTCCTCCAACTAGTGGCCTTTTCAAGTGTGATAGGTTCAAAGTAACAAAGAGATCCCATCCCACCATACCATACAAAGGAAAGGCCTTCACTCTTGACAACCCCTTTTTCTTCTTCTTGATGGATGACCTTTCCTCATAAAGTTGTGTTTGTTATCTTCAAAAGCCGACATCATGAAAGCCTTTGTCCGAGACTCATAATTTGATATCAACCTGAATATAGTTCAATGGGTTAAGACACTTAAATTCAAATCCCCGCCCCCACATGTTGTACTAAAAAGAAAAAGACTCGTAATTTGATGATATTTCTTTACATTCACTTTCGTGGATGATGTACGTTAAGTTAAAATATATACTCAAGTTGTCACTTGAATTAATTTACACGGATCATGATTTTGTAACGAGAATAAATCTATTCTTGCAGCCAAATATAGCCAAGAAAAATTTCATATAAAATTAGACTTTGGCCATCAGCAGCCATTAGAAATCAAAACTATTTGAGGATATGATAATACATTAAATTTGATTAACCAAACTCAGAAGCATTGAATCTCTGGGAAAAAACCAATTTTTCATATGTTGAATGTCAACGGTGAGATCAATGTGGATAAATAGTTATGAAAAGGGAATTTAATAATAAGAAACTTTAGATACATTTCATCCTTCCAAACTATATATTATACTGCAGAATCACATTTATCACCTGCTAATCAACCTACTAATCAACAATGATGCAATAGGAAACTTTTTCAATTTCATAAACAATAGTGTCTTTATCAATATCAAAGCTAGTTTCTTTTTAGTTTGTTGGAAAGACCCAAAAAAATTTGCAACAAAATTATAAAATCTATCCATTAAGATAACAAATAAAAGGTTAGCTTTGGTTCATTTTGGTCCGTTAATTTTATTCTATCTCATTTTTTCTATCACAATTTCAACAAGACACTAAAATCAATATATTTCTTAAAATGTAAATATTACTTTATACTAGATAATTTTCGTTAGGTGTAAAATTTGTGTTAAAAGTTTGCAAATAGGGACTAAAACGATCACTTTTTGAAAGTATGAGGACCAAAATGAACATTTTAAAAATACAGGGACTAAAATGAGGCAAAGTTTGAAATACATGATCCAAAATAAACATTTTCAAAGTACGGAGACTAAAATGAACCAAGGTTGGAAGTACAGAGACCAAAATAGTATTTTAACCCAAATAAAATCAATAACTATTTGATTAAAGTTTTAAGATAAGATGTTATTGAATTACTATTCCTTCTTCGAAGTTAAGTAATGTCTTGACGAGTTGATTAGCCATTTAACTATCTTTGATGACGGGTTTTTTGGATCAAAGAACAAGTTTAAAGACAAAATGCCACAAAATCTTGAAGGATTTTGAAAATAGAAAAGGTTGAGAGAGAGAGAGAGAGAATGTTTGGAAAAAGAAGAATGGTGTATAAATGTAAGGGTTTTGTAGGGAGTTGGGATCAAAGATTTGGCATGCGTGATGACGAGAACCGCACTCAGAAGGCCTCAGGGCGTGGCCCAGCTGCCGCACCATGGCTAGACCATATATACTTGTAAAGGTTTAATAATGCCTCTATTATCTTTTCACTTTCCTTTCATTGAGTTTCATCCCATTACTATCGGACTTCAACTTTCGATCTCATGAAAAATAATAGTATATATCACGTAAGGTGTGTTTGAGAGTGATTTTAGCACGATCAAAAAATCACTTTTACCATTGTAAAAATAATAGTATTTATCACTTTAAATTGATTTTTTAGGTTTCATTTGTACTGTGATTTTAGAAAATCAATTTACTTAAATCTATTTTTTCAAAATTACTCGTTTTACTATTACTGTAATGATGTAATTGACCTTGTAATGTTTAAAAATGTAATTTTTAGTTGAGTTGTTGTTTGTAAGAGAATTAGATGTGGGCGACTGATTTGTATTTTTTGTTTGTTAAATTACAAGTTTAGTCTATGAATTTTTTGAATTGTGTCTAATTAATAGATTTTTGAACAAAATGATCATTTTTTTAAAAGACCAAAATGAACAGGGGATAAACTAGACAGAAGCATAAAGTTAAGAGGCTAAAATGGACGTTGGGAGCGTACAAAGACCGAAATGAGCGAAAGCGGAAAGTACAAGAATCAGAATAGTATTTCAACTCAGAGAAAGTACAAGTGTTCGAACGACTAAGCTACGTAGAGGTCGGAGACGGGTGAAAATGAAGTAAATTTTTCATCTAAAGGAGATGTGGCATTGTGTTGAGTCTTGGGTGTGGAATAATTATAAGTAATTTGAGAAGAAAGGCTCACTTTTTTTCAGATGTTTTTGGAAGTGATAAGACATGTTTGATATCCATAAGCGGTATGATATATTGGACTAACAAACATTCCATTGCCAAAATAGAAACGCTGACATTTAAGACTCCTAAATGATCACGCCAAAGAAAATAAGTTTGGAAACAGAAGTCTTATTGTAATGATGTATGAAGAGAAAACACATGCATATATTTATGTTTGTTCATGAACTACTAGAGATCAATCAAGTAAAAATTGTTGTGAGACCCACAAAATAAGTTGAAAGAAAATAAAATTTTTGTGATGGGATGTACCTAAATTTGAGGATGAGAATGGATTTCATTCTCCATTCTATGATGAAGTTGGTAAAATACGTAGAAAACTCCAAATCCGAGAATCACACAAATTTCTCTTCTTAACCCCAATTATACCAAAAAAAAACCTTTTTAAAGCAAATACTGCTCAGTTAACTAGAGTTAGTATACCATGATTAAAGATTAAACTCAAACTCATGAGCTCCTTTTATAGTAGTTAGAACATACCTCCTCCTTGTATCTTTCCGATGTGGGATAACTTCTACTACTTGGTGAGTACACTCTCTACTTGTATCTTTCCGATGTGTGGCAAAATTCAATTTTAATATTTTGCCGAAACCCAACAAGAAGAATGTTGTCAAACTCATTCTGATGACACCCTTTTTTTTTTTTGTCAATTTAACAATATCGGGTGAGAGATTCCACCTTCAATTTTAAAAAAGGCACAAGTGTACAATTATTTGGCCACTCTCATGGTATTAAAGATCTAGGTCAACATAAGTATTATTTAGTGGTTAGGACATTTTTACCTCTTCTATATTAAGCAGTGGTAGCTAGGTTCGAATCCTCACTCACTCTTATAATTGTGATATGATATTCCAAAACAAACAAACATAGGATTAAGGTAAGATTTCACATCAAAAGCATATTTCATCCATCAACAATGAGCAAAACTCAGCGATAATTGTCATTTATTCATTCCCTTGAGGTTGGAGGTTCGAATCCCTCATATCCCAATTTATTGTATTAAAAAAAAGCATCCTCACTTATCCTTCCAACGAACCTAACTCAAAAGTATAATCAAAATCCAAAAAAACCCCTTTATTCAAGAAAACATATCTTAAATATAATTAAAATAGATTAATCTACACGCGACTCAAGATTCAAGTAGTTAGATAATTATATCCCTCTAGATCATAAGTTGAGTCTTCGTCATCTCATTCGACACGAAACATCCTAAAGACGAAGGAAAAAAGAAAAGGAAAAATATTGAGGTTTCGTATGAGAAATGTGGAAGTAATGTATTTAAAAAAAAGGTGGCATTTTTATTTGATGGAATAAATGGAAGATGCAAGGAATGAGGGCATGGGAGGCATTGGCATTGGGAGGGCAGCAGCCATACCCTCCATTTTTGGTCTAACAAAAGAGATGAAAAAGCCATCAAAGTGGGCCCTTCCCCACCAAAGAGGAATTTAGTACACTCTTCGACCAGCTAAAGCCAAGACCAAATGGGCCCCATGCCATTATTTATCACTTTTTTCATAAATATATAAAAATAAATAAATAAAATAAAATAAAAATCATCAATTTCTTCCCTCCTTCCACTCCTTAAATCCAAAACTCTTCCCTATAAATACCCCTCCATTATACTTGATCCAACACACCCACCCACCAAAAAACCAAAGCAAAGTACTTTCTTTCCCCATATCTCCAAAAAAAAAAAATGGCCATTTTTCCAGTCATCAACTTGGACAGCATCAATGGCGATGCTAGGCCCAAGATTTTGGAGCAAATTGAAGACGCATGTCGAAACTGGGGTTTTTTTGAGGTGAAGATTCGAACTTACAACTTTTAGAACAAATATTAGAGATGTTTGATGTCGAAGCCGCGTAATTGATTGTGATGGGAGGTTTAATTTGGGTTCGTGGGTTTGATTTGATTGCAGGTGGTGAACCATGGGATCCCACATGAGTTTTTGGACAGAGTGGAGAAGATGACGAGAGATCACTACAAGAAATGTATGGAAGAGAGGTTCAAGGAGACGGTGGCAAGCAAGGGCTTAGAGGCTGCACAGGCTGAAGTTAATGATATGGATTGGGAGAGTACCTTTTTCTTGCGCCATCTTCCTCAATCAAACATCTCCGAGATCCCCGATCTCGACGACGAGTACAGGTAAGACAACGAACCTCTTCATATTTCTACGATGATATTATCTATTTTAGACATGAGGTGTCGCGTGTCACTCTTTACTAATGTCTTGTGCATGATATGTGCAGGAAAGTTATGAAGGAATTTGCCAAGTTGTTGGAGAAACTTGCTGAGGAGCTATTGGACATGCTATGCGAGAATCTTGGGTTGGAGAAAGGCTATCTGAAGAAGGCTTTCTATGGATCACAAGGTCCAACATTTGGCACAAAGGTGAGCAATTACCCACCGTGTCCGAAGCCGGAGCTGATCAAAGGTCTCCGAGCCCACACCGACGCCGGTGGCATCATCCTCCTCTTCCAAGACGACAAGGTCAGTGGCCTACAGCTCCTCAAAGATGGCAACTGGATCGACGTGCCCCCAATGCGCCATGCCATCGTAGTCAACCTTGGGGATCAGCTTGAGGTAAGTACATCATCAAAACCAAATCAACCCAGTAGAGGAGTACTCTTAACTTCCTAAATTTTCAAAATGGAAAGATTATATTATACAAAAAAGTTGAAACGTAAAACTTTGCAGGTGATCACAAACGGAAGATACAAAAGTGTGATGCATAGAGTCATAACTCAAGCGAACGGAACCGGCCGAATGTCGATAGCTTCGTTCTACAATCCCGGGAGCGACGCCGTGATCTTCCCGGCGCCAGCGCTGGTGGAGAAAGAGGCTGAGGAGAAGAATGGAGTGTATCCCAAGTTTGTGTTTGAAGATTACATGAAGCTGTACTTAGGCGTCAAGTTTGAGGCCAAGGAGCCAAGATTTGAAGCCATGAAAGCCAATGCCAATTTGGGTCCAATGGCAACAGCATAAAATAGAGAAACCAAAATAAAGACACCCACTTTTTTTAACAAATAAATATATTGAAAGGTTTGGTTGCCTTTTTAAGTGGGTTGTGAGTGACTGAACTATAGGTTAATGTTATTAATTTAATGATAAGTTAAAAAGCAAGTTTGCAGAAGTAGAATATGTTTGTAGCAAAAGTGATGTGTTTCCATTTTCTCTATATAATTAAATTCACTTTCAGTTTCAAGGGTCCAATGGAGTTTCAGTAGTGATCTATAGTTTACTTACTTTACTATATTTTCTCCAAAAAGAAAATTTTGTAGCCAGAAGTTGGATATAGCTTTTAGATTGGCCCTTTTTTCTAACAAGTGGGAAATGGAGTAAAAAATTAAGCATAATGGAATGCTTTTCTTTTCTTTTGAAGATGTTTAAAAAGGCAAATCTTTCTTTCTTCTTTTTTATCAGATCTAATATACAATTGCACATAAAACTTCTTTAGGACCAGAAATAAAGCTAAAAAAGGATTATAACTTTGAACAACTTTCATCTTCTTGAAATCTAATACATATGATTGTGGTGAATCCCAGCTGGTGGATTTATGAGTTTGAGAGTAGTAAATATACAAATACAAGAGGGGAGTAATCACTTGAAAGAAATGTGAGGCCTAATAAATGGCAACTAATTGACCACTGAAAACAATTTCAGAATCATTCATCATCTGCTCGAGTTTATTGGGCATCTTCTTCCATTAATGAACATCCTCGGAGTTCGCAGCAGCCATACAGGACAGGCAATTACCTTTTGGAACATGAAAATGATGATGGCAGATGCTTCAGGCCAGAAACATCGAATCGTTCAATGAACCTCTGATCTGAAATTCTTGCCTTGGCAGCGGCGAATCGCTGGTACTCGTCAAAGACTGACGTTAGGCACCATTTCTGCAACTTTCTGAAGCATCCCACAACGCAACCAGTTCGATGCTGAAGAGTGAGGAACAAGTTGAGTAGATAGAAGCTCGGTAAAAGCATAGGCATGGTAGAAGAGGACATGTTTGTATTATATACATACCTTCCCTCGTTTGCAATGGATTAAAACTGGACGATTCCTCACATCTACAAGGTGAGAAAATAAAGCCCGAGTGAGCTCAATCGAAAGTATTCAATTTAAAGATCTAATTCGGCCTTATTGAAGATGTAAACTGTGAAGTATAGTCGGTACCAAGAATAACTTTAAGTGCTTCACGAATTGAATCGTCTGGAATGTTCACAAAAGGCTCCTGCATTTAATTTCAACAACAGAAGTGATCAGTGTTCTTTTAGAGTACTATCAATCAATTGAATTCTGCTCTTGTTACAGTGTTTGACAATCAGCTACATGATAATTGCCACCAGGCAGTTGATTCTAAATTTATGTAAAATATTCAACTTTGATTAAATATCCAAAATGTTATGTTTTCTATGGGAGTTAGTCAACGATAAGCATTCAATTGAGAATTGAATATGGGAAGTCAGAAAAAGAAAGCAATTTCATCCTACTTCTCAGTCAAATGAACATGGGAGCTACGAAATGTAGAAGTTCATGATCAAGTGTTGTTCCCAGAAAAGAAATTACTTCTTCAAAATATGTACTTGTCTAGTTACTTACCACCGCATGAGTAGTAGCCCATGGCGATGATAATCAAACAACCAAATCTTTTCTCCTTCTCTGTTTTTATTCTTCTCCTTTCGTTTGTGTGTGTTCATATGTGCTATTGGCCATTGTTTAATTGAGTTAAACAAATTTGAGTTCAATACGTTGAGAAAATCTAATATTAGAACCACTAGTAAGTATTGAGCCATTTGAGTAATACTGGGATAATACTAGTCAGATCAAATTTCATACCAAATAGTACATATGCTCAGCGCTCATATCCAAATTCCTCATACACTCGAGAATCAAGTTTACATATGCATCAGCCTTGTCTGAACCGGCCTAGACAATTTACAGAACTAGATTTTGTTAGCTAAAGCCCCAAATAGTTGCCATAGGCAAAGAAACGGTCAAATCAGTCAAACTAAGAAGTAAAGTAATCTTAAAGTCCTTTGGAGTGCGGATGAAACTATGGCTCAAAGAACATGGAATGGCCATAATCAGTGGGAGTCTCAGCATCAAATGCTTGCATATTAATTATTTTCACTTATATACAAATTTACCAAAATCGAACCACATGTAAGTCCATATGCTTACAAATTAAAGCACAATCTCAAAATCACTTTAAAAGAAGCGTCCCCTGAGAATTGAGAATTGACATTTGACATAACACGCCAAGAATAAAAATCACTGAAGAAACGGTAGGAAGCATCACAAAACAACAAATCAAGAGTAAGAAACAGAAAATCCGTCGAGAGGATAGAAGAGCGTTAGCCTTCATTAAGAAATCAGAGTCATAGACATACAGACAAAAACTATATCTCTCCAACAACGATACGTAGGTGATGTAAAACTTCCATGAAATTAGGTTGAAAATGAGAACAAGAGAACAAACCTTAGTACCTTCAATTCCGAATTGAAACAATCGGATCCCGTTGGACTTGAGGAAATCCATGCTGTCCTCAGGATACGGCTCCGGACAAAGACATCTACAATATCCGTCAAGAAACAATCAGTTCACCTAAAATCATCGACAGAGAAACAGAACAACGAAAGCAAACAAACAGCGATTAAGTAGAAACTGTTTACATGATAGAACGGAGGCCTAAGGTGTGCAAGAAGGAGAAGTTGGAAGAGTCGGGGAAGC